GCTTCAAGCAGCACCATTATACCAACATTTCACATTCTAGACATTGCTTTAGGTGTATTTGACCAAAAGTTTGACTGAAAATTCACATGCAAGCTTTTTTTCAAGGCTGTGGTATTTGCCCGCAAACACCTTTCAGCTAGCTAAAACAGAATATTATGCTATCAGCGAGCAACATGGCTAATGCCTTTCACACAGCTTTGTCTCAACGCCAAAGAGCCACAGAAGTAAAAGCTAATAATAATAATTGAAACAATCTTTGAAAAAATGACTTACCAAGCATGGCAAACAACTCAAATATGTAGAGCAAAATGTTCTGAAACGGCTTCGCTTCAGCTTCGATTGGAGCCGTGCTGGGGGCGGAGTCTGTGAATTTACTCTATTGGTGTCATAGCCCCTGTTGGAGTTCAGAGTTAAGAGGTCAAGAGTTAATGTTTCCATTGTAACACCTCCAGATTTGACAGAGAAACACTCATTTTTAACACTCGATTTTAACTACTATCATTTTACACCCCAGAGTTACATTAAAAGAATGTGACTCTGCTTAGAGTAAAATAAACTCTACTTTTGCAAGAAGACTACTAGCACCAAAACATTTAACACTTTTGAATTTGCTGTGTGGGAATGACAGTGGACTATGGATTATTTGTTCTTTTGTCACATCATGTATGAATTAAACAGTAAAAACAGGTTTAGAGTTCAGTATATTTCTCCCACCTGTAATTACTTTCATTCCTTGTTAGTTTGTTACCCATCGCTCTTTCATATATAGGCTAAATATGGCGGCAGGTCAGTGAGCGCAGTGGGGTCTGACTGACAGCTGATTTCCTTGCATTTCCCAGCAGGGATCATTAGCTTCTGTTTTATATTCTTATTTCAAGTTAGGCCAAATTGATTTTAGAAAAAAAGTATGACTTTCACTCGTGTTCCTTATTATTTTCCAATCTGTACCAACTGACTCCTCTCATTACCCACGGTGCATATATTTCCGTGATTTGTCTTTCTTTGTCTCATCTAGTACAATTCTAATCATTACTTGTTATCAGTTTCTAAAGTGTGCTCTGCGCTCATGTATAACTAAATCTCCCCCCAGCAAATCAATACAGCGTTGTAATGTTTCGTTTATCTAATTAAATCCCTGATAGACCCGTTTCCAACAAACGTCTGTTTCAAGCTCTTGTTTTATAGGTTTTGATTAGATTGTAGGAAATCAAACTAAACCATGAAGGACACAGAAGTGTGGTTATAAATGCATTATTTCATAAAATGTATGTTGGGTAACTTGTTTTCACAAGTTCTTTTTTTTTTTTCAGTGTTATAACAGATTGTAACTGTAACATTTTGACTTCTCTGACAGGCTGTGGACTGATTTTAAGAACTCAGTTCAGTTTTGATGCTAAAATATATGATATTAGCTTACAGATGATTAAATGTAAAACAAATGTCAATAAAAGGCTGTCTCTCAGCTCACAAACCCCACATAACTACAAAAAAACCCCACTGCTGTGGCTTCAGATAGCATTTTGCTAATAACAATGTTAGCAAGTTTAGCTAAAGTTAGCTAGCTAGGTGCTACGTAAGGGATCAAGTACCTTCTGATCCTAAGATGATTTTCTGAGTCCTGTACAAGGAAGCAACTTCACCACACCCGGGATCTTTTCATTATCTGGATTCTGTCCTTGTAATATCAGCAAGTGGACACATGAAGGTGGCTATGAGCTGACACAAACATGCTTTAAGATTTCTTATTTAGCAAACTATGTTAATATAGTCTTGGCAGCCGGGGGTCAGTCCGCCAGGGCCTCCGCTCCTGGCCGCCACCCGACACACAATGCACCCGACCCCTGGTGGGCCTGCGGGAGGATGGGCCCATGTCTCCTCTTCGGGCTGTGCCCGGCCGGGCCCCGGTTCGCAGCCGAGTGTGAAGCAGCGGGAATGAGGATCAGCACCTCCAAATCCGAGGCCATGGTTCTCAGCCGGAAAAGGGTGGAGTGCCCACTCCGGGTCGGGGATGAGTTCCTGCCCCAAGTGGAGGAGTTCAAGTATCTCGGGGTCTTGTTCGCGAGTGATGGGAGAAGGGAGCCGGAGATCGACAGACGGATTGGGGCTGCAGCTGCAGTAATGCGGACGTTGCACCGGTCCGTCGTGGTGAAGAGGGAGCTGAGTGTAAAAGCGAAGCTCTCAATTTACCGGTCGATCTACGTCCCTACCCTCACCTATGGCCACGAGCTGTGGGTAGTGACCGAAAGAACGAGATCGCGGATACAAGCGGCAGAAATGAGCTTCCTCCGAAGGGTGGCTGGCCTCTCCCTTAGAGATAGGGTGAGAAGTTCGGCCATCCGGGAGGGGCTCAGAGTAGAGCAGCTGCTGCTCCACATCGAAAGGAGCCAGCTGAGGTGGTTCGGGCATCTGACAAGGATGCCCCCTGGGAGCCTCCTGGGTGAGGTGTTCCAGGCATGTCCCACCGGAAGGAGGCCCCGGGGCAGACCCAGGACACGCTGGAGAGATTATATTTCTCGGCTGGCCTGGGAACGCCTTGGTGTTCCCCCGGACAAGCTGGAGGAGGTGGCTGGGGAGAGGGAGGTCTGGGCCTCTTTGCTTAGGCTGCTGCCCCCGCGACCCGACCCCAGACAAAGCGGATGACGATGGATGGATGGATGGATGGATGGATGGATGGATGGATGGATGTTAATATAGATGTGGTTGGCTAATTCAACTCCTGGTATAGAGTATACTTTACTGTGAGTTACTTTATCAATTTAATTCTAGCTAGCTGACTAACTGTGTTTTGCTACTTATGGTTATTATTATGAAAATATATTATGTGATTAGAGATGTTATTTGGCTAGCTAGCCAAAAACTATTAGCTGACCTGAAAAACTTGGACACCAAACAGAAACTGGGAACGTTCACTTTTTGGCCTGTGGTTGCAGATCGGTCTACAACGTCTCTTTATGCTCTCTTTACACTTAATGTCATGTCATTAGCAGTCACATGACTACAAACACTGAATACTGGTCATAAAAAGTGCATCAAAGAACAAGCCCCACTGCTCACTGATTTTGGAAAAAGATTTAAACCCTTCACCTTGAACATTAAATAATTTTCTCTTTACTAAATTAACATCTCCCTCACCCACTGATGGTTTTTTTTTTTGTTTTTTTGCTTTTAAGAGGTTGAAGCAGAGTCCCACCTACAGTTTGCAACCAAACTCTTAACGTTTAATCAATACCATACTGACAGAACCATTAATATCTGTACCCACTCTTGGACCATTTCTTCCTGCTTTCCCATGAAAAACAATCTCATCATGACTTTGTAAAGAAGTGAAGCAGCTAAAGGTGAAATTTAATTGAACAAAGCAGCCGGTGTCCATTTCTTAATGCAGCAGCAGCTGCGTGCCAGAAACTCCAAACGCGGCGTCCATTTCTTAATTCGAGGCAGACGTGCCAAGTTTTATGCTGTCAGTCAATTTCCTGATGGAGCCGCAGGTCTGAGCCAACGAGGCGCCGCAAACATAATCCTGTTTATTTAAACCTGCTGCCAGAGAGGAATACACCCTTACATCCACATACCTGTACCTGCTGTACCATGATTGACATGTATTTGCTCTGTTAATGGATGAATGAATGAAAGTTGATCAATGAGTACAAGATCAATAGCCCTGATTTTGGGGTTCAGTACAAATGTTTGCAGCTTCATGTGTCAGCCTTTATATGTTTGTGCCGGTTTAAACATTTGAATTATGCTTGAAGTATATTTTGGTTCATTTCTGTTCAAATTTGGAAATTATAAGCTCTTGGTTTGTAGCTCTTTTTAACCCGATGGCTCACCTGATGCCTTAAGGCACAACCCATTGATAAATCTCATAGATGGAACAATATTTAAGTTTGTAGTCCCCCTGAGTGAAATAGCGTTATTTTTACTAACTATGGGGTTTGATTTAGTACTTAGTTTGAGTAAATCAAAGCAGAACCATTGAGGCTATTCACACAAAACAATAGATCATGATTTGCATGATTATCACTGAAAATATTTTAAAAAATGCTAAAATTAGTCACTTGGGTGGTCTATCCAAGTAGAGTCTATGAACTCGGTTCTGCTGGAGGTCACTTCCTGTTGAACGGGAGTTCTTCCTTTCGACCATCTCCAGGTTTTTGCTCGTAGGTGACTGTGTACTGATGCTATATAAATGGGTCTGGTTCTTGTTTAAACCAGTACCAATTAGTCCAATCCACTAAAACTGGATTGGACTAATTGGCTTTGCAGTTTTAAGACCCAGGGAAACCAGCCCGCCAGCGCTTTGTAACACCCGCGACCTCTGGCAATAAGGAAAGGCTGCTCTTCATAGAGGACTCACGCTCGAGGAGACATTTTTTGGTTGACTCAGGCTCCCAGAAGAGCTTCGGAAACTTTTGTGTCGTCTTTGCATACCTCCACAATGGTATATTATTTAATCTTTAAAAACATTGGAGATTTCCCGCCTACCACCAGAGAGAGCCCAAGTACCACAAGTGGTACGCGTACTCCCTGGAACATCTCCAAGGTTTATTTTCACTTACTGTATGGTAGTGACAATTTTTACATGCACACCTCTTTCAATAATGTTCAAAGTCCCTGATAATCGCAGTAACAGTGGCTTTAATGCTGCAAACCTGCTCAAGCCCACACCGAAAACTCATCATCAGTCAGTAATGGAATTGATTTCTTTTTAAAAAGCCCAAAAGTCATACAGTCTTATGAATCCGTAACATGGAGGGCATTTGCATATACCTGAAATCTTCCCTTGGATGTTCAGGGCTGCAAATTCTAGTCGGGTTTACAATAAATAACAACTTTATACATGAAGTTTGTAAAAGCACATATCTTAAATAAAAAATCTTTATATAATAAACCACTAAAGGAACTAAAAAGCTGCATGGCTTCCCGTCCACGAGACGGTTGGTTTAAGGGTTTAATAACAAGCAGAAATCTGATGGTTTGTGTCTCTTGTGTCTTCGCAGATCCCGGTTCTGGTTCAGGAGACGGAGACGGTGAGTGTCTGTCTTTCACTGGGCTATTTAAAGATTTCATTTCCTGCTTCACTTCTGCTGCGGGTGAAAGTCAAACACAAATCAATTACAGCAGAGTCGTTATCTGCCCTGCACAAACATTAACTGCTTGTATTGTGAGCCGTCTGTGATATGAAGAAACTAATCACTGAGGTCAAAACGTGGCTGAACGACCCCTCCACGCAGAACCGTTTATTCTGCCTCTGTGAGTCCTTCTGTGCCTCTGCAGCCCCTCGCTGAATGTTAACTCCTCTAATAAAGGTTTCATTAAGTCCTCCCTGAAGAACACGATGGTGTTGTCTGTCCTGTGGGAGTCGAGCTTAAAGCCTCGCTGTTGCCAAATTTGGCAACAGAGACATTTTGCAACCATCTGTGAGCACGGACCACAGTGTTTGTTGTTTAATTTGGCTGCTGGAGGGGTTTTAATTGGAGGCGGCTGCTCGAGAGGCAGTACCTCCACCATCCGCTGCCATCTGCATGTGGGCGGGGCCTCTGAGCAGCAGGAGATGGAAGAGTTGATCCATGGAGGATTAGAAAAGGTTAGAAAAACTAACGGCAGCTCTTTAAACATGTTCACACCTGTTAACTTGTTTCCTAACAGTAAATCATGGCTGCATGTGACATGCAGAATAAAATTGACTAAAACACACATTTAGTTCTTTATTTCACTTTTTTAAATGTACATGTGCACAAATCTGTGTGCATTTATGATGAGAATACCTCGTTTATATTCAAACATACAATTTTATACATAAAAACTAAGCCTTTATGTCAGTCATCGACTGAGGAACCTCAACTTCATCATTTCAATCAAACGTCTGTTGTATTGATCTGGTCAGGTAAGTATCACAGGGGGTTGTTAATCACTTCCAGCTGCTTTAGTGTTAATGAAATTTATAACAGGTGCACAAGAGGGGCAACAATGAGACAACCCCAAAAACAGGAGCAGTTTTTAGACGTAGAGAGCGCTGACACATTTTCCCTCCTCATCGTTTTTGGCTGTTTTTTCACTAGTTTGGCCGTCAGTGGTATCATGAAGTGATACCTGGGCTCCTCCAGTTTGCTCCTCCAGGATGGTACGTCAATATCTGTCTCTCCAGGAGACAAGCAGTTACTCTAGGAGAGCTGGGCAGGACCGTAGAAGGCCCTCAACCCATCAGCAGGACCGCTGTCTGTCCAAACTACTCTGCTTTATTAAGGCTGTCATTTAGTTGAAAAAAGTTAGCGTTCATCCTCCAGCTTCACTGTGTTTATGCTAGCCATAGCTGTGTAGCTAGCCACCACGCAGCACCTCATTGTATACCAGCTAGCCCGACTTCAGTAACCCTACAAGCGTCGCTGCTGTTTATTTTTCTGTCTTCATTTATGTTGGAAGTGATAGCAGAGCTGCACGTTTTAATTTTTGCTGTGGCGGCCTTCCAGGCCTTCCTGGTTTGTGCATGTCGAAGCTCAGTTTGGTCATCGTGGCGTTTCAGCCGATGACACGAAATACCATCCTGTGGTGGCCTTGCTGGATCCGCTGTCCACCCTCCGTGTGATGATACACCGCTCTCAAGGCTCTGCTGGTGCTGCTCCGATGCAGAACGGCTGAGAAACTCCTCTCTCTCTCGGGCTTGGGTGATGGTACCGCTCTCGAGCCCACGGAGAGTACGCTGTCCTTGCTAGGATGACGGCGGATTCCTCTTCACTCACGTGTTCCTCTGACAGGTGCCGGTGCGAGCTGGCCTTGCCAACTCCCCGCTGCTGGCCGCGAAGGATTACCGCTCACTCGCAGAAGCGGATCAGATTCTCCTGGCAACCAGGTGCTTCGGCATCCAGGCGATAGTTCCCGACTCACCGACAGCATCTACTGCACCACCACCGATTCTCCCGGGGGCCTTCAACTCATCGATGGTGGCTGGGATCGCAGCACGGTGGCACCACGGAAAAGGGCAGTGTTTTAAGCATCAGCGTGACAACGCTGTGCCGCCTTTGCAGTTTTAAGACCCAGGGAAACTAGCTCGCCAGCGCTTTGTAACAGCCGCAACCTTTGGCGATAAGGAAAGGCTGCTCTTCATAGAGGACTCACGCTCGGGGAGACATTTTTGGTCAACTCAGGCTGCCAAAAGAGCTTCGGAAACTCTTGTGTCGTCTTTGCATACCTCCACAATGGTACATTATTTAATCTTTAAGAACATTGGAGCTTTCCCGCCTACCAACAGAGAGAGCCCAAGTACCACAAGTGGTACGTGTACCACAGTTTGAGAATCACTCCTCTAGTTGTGCCATAGAATACCAGAACTGGCAGATCCACCACTGGCGCCCTGTGCTGTGAATGAGTGAGAGCAGATTCACCCTGAGCACATATGACAGATGTGAAACAGTCTGGAGAACTTTTTAATGAAATCCAAAGCAGATTCGATTCTGTTGTTTATCTTAGTCAGTGCCTAAAGCTCGTGGGCACAGAGGAGGATCGGATCATAGATCAACCAGTAAACCAGCAACTCTGCCTTCACAGCTCTCTTTACCACAGTAGACAATCTGTCCACCAATATCCTGCTACACTCCTCCCCTACGTATGAACCCTGAGATACTTGAACTCCTTAACTTGAGGCAGCAGCTCCTCTCCATCCTGAGATGGCAGTCCACCTTTTTCCATGATGGAAAACTGCTCCGGTGAGAGCTGGAGACTGATGCTTGCTGAATTCAGAAGGATGCAATCTCTACTAAATAAATCAGAGAAAGCCCGTAGTAGGTAAGAAAATATGCCCTTAAAGTAGGTCATCAACTGGCAGAGTTTTCTAATGAGATCTGTTAGGTAAAAGATTTTACCCTATTCATGTGTAATGTCTGTCCTTTAAAATCTGAAAGGTTCCCTTCAGGGCTGATAAGTTCTTTATGAAGAGTGATTTGAATGATTACGTGGAGATGTGGTGATTTTCCTTCCTCACAGATCATCCGTGTGAATAATTTCGACTTGATTTGGAGACATGATGATGCCAAGTCCTTCTTTTCCACTGTAATTTGTAATTTTCTTTGGGCTTTGCTGCTTTCATGTTCATTTTTTGTTACAGCTCAAGTTTAAAGGCTTGGTTTTCTCTTTGGTAAAGGCTGACTGACAAATGTGTCTGCACAAAGCTTTGGATTCAAACACAAAGAAGCAGACTTGCGTTCGAATTTAACCATTCAACATATTTTTTACTTGCACTCAGCTGTTCAAATATTTTGTTCATTGGCCGTTAAAATGTATTTTCACTGCTGTGCTGCCCTACTGACAATAGTGCAGCACAGAGTGACTCAACGAGGACGAACCCATCTGTAGATGTTAGAAAAAGCAGCAATTGTTGCTCTTGTAAACCAGCTTGAAAAGCTTTGTCCTTATAAACGATGGGCAGTTTGTAAAAATTCATCCAGAGTGGGTCAGATTGTTTAAGCAGAGACATTATTACTGTGTGTCTGACCAAGCCAGAGCAGTTTTCTCGTGGTGCGATTATTTGCAAAATCTCTGCACAAATGTGAATCAATTCCAGTCCATTCTGGCTGAATGTGGATCGTCCAGCCGCCACTGACTGTCAGGAGATGACAGCAAGTTTACCGGCAGTGTTTGAGGGCCATTGGAAACGTCATCACCCCGTATCGATGGGCCGTGGAACAAACATTCGTCTTAAAGTCGAAGAACTTGAGAAACCACACAGCTGTGATCCTGACAGTGACATGCTCCGTAGGTGAGAAACTCTAATTGTAAACAGTGACAGTAGCTGTGAAGTTGTACTTGTGGCAGGAGCGTTAGTACTGCGGTGATACGGCACCGCGTGTTTGACCTGCTGGTCATTAGTTCATTAGCAGGACTCTGGAGAACTTCAAGACATGCTGAGGAGGTCGTTTAACCATTTAAATCAGCTGTGATGAATGAAGAACACATCTAAAACCTGCAGGACTCCGGTCCTCGAGGCCTGGAGTTGGACACTCCTGCACTAGAAGATCCAAAACGTCCATAAAATTGGGCTCCAGCATTCTGTGAATGACTGTCCAGATGGTAAATGGCCTGTATTTATATAGCGCTTTACTAGTCCCTAAGGACCCCAAAGCGCTTTACATATCCAGTCATCCACCCATTCACACACTGGTGATGGCAGCTACATTGTAGCCACAGCCACCCTGGGGCGCACTGACAGAGGCGAGGCTGCCGGACACTGGCGCCACCGGGCCCTCTGACCACCACCAGTAGGCAACGGGTGAAGTGTCTTGCCCAAGGACACAACGACCGAGACTGTCCAAGCCGGGGCTCAAACCGGCAACCTTCCGATTACAAGGCGAACTCCCAATTCTTGAGCCACGATCGCCCCAATAACTTAGAAACCTTAAACTGTCCACTAACCAGTCTTAACACGACGCTTCTGCATCTGCAAAGCCAGATTTAACCCTGTGTCAGGCCGTGGGTTCGTTCATATATGAGCATACGCGATGAGATTTATTTTCCCCTCCATTCTTAGCAGTTTGAAATTTTATTTCAGTATTTTCCAGGTAATCTGCAAAGGAAAGGAAAAATCTATCATTTCAGTGCATGACCTTTTTAAGCAGTAAATCGCAGCTGTAATAGCAACTAAATAGCAGCTGTGATTTAGCTCTAAATTGCAGCTAAATGGGTTTCCAAAGAAGTTTCTGCTTCTTGGTTCAGTCATTAAATATACATTTATTATATATGAGCTTTTGAGAAAATCGCTTTAACATTTAATGTTAGATAAGGTTCGTGCATTACAAACATAAACCATAAACAGCTGAGAATCACCCAATAAAGTCGCATTATTTACAGGTCAGTGAGACAAATCTTTAACTAAAACAAAGCCAACTCGATCTATAGTGACTGGAAGGAAATCCATACTAACTTCATGTTTATTTAAGCTTTTAAACAGCTTAAATGCAACAAGCAAGAATATACCTGTATCCTGTAATCTACATCTAATTTGCAGCCTTAAAAAAACCTTTTAATGAAAGTTTTTAGT